AATAGTTTTCTTTTGCTTTCTGTCATATTACAAATCAGTTCAGGGTATCTCTTGCACAATCCACGCCTTTCATCTTCTCAACACTGGTCGTCTAGAGTTGAGCGAAAAAACGAAACGTTTACAAAAAAAACCATTGACAGCTTTAGTTTTACAAGTATTTTTAATGAAACTAATATGTTTATCTAAGAACCAGCAGCTGCACTGCTGCTTTTGGAGCAAAAAACCAAAAGAGCTGGAGGAGTCGGAGAGGAGAGGAGTCGAACCCGCGACCTCTCTTCTGTTCTTTTGAGAGAGGGTCATGCTCTGGCACCACTCGGCCATGGTCTGGCGTAGTGCTCACACTTAGCATCGATATTCATCGATATGTGAATGGCATTAAAGATGTTGAAACTTGTATCAAAATCAAATCAAATGTGAACAACTGAAACTGAGCGACTTGATGGAATGACGTTTCGAAATCGTTTCCACGAGTGAGTGAGAAATTTTCGATATGGTTCAGTGAATCCCCAAATGAATATCGATGACGTCATTGCGTGCGTACTGTTTATCAATAAGGCGAAATTGAGAATATCTAAATGAGTATTCAGTAACAATGAAAATTATTTCAAACAAACATTGCGGTATGATCAATTTCAACCCCACAACAGCCGCATAAAGTAACCAAGGGAAAGCAATGGTCAAAAATGGGATGAAAATCTGAATTGATGACTTTTCGAGGCCAACTCTGGCTACAATTGCACAAAATTATCCAAATTTCACCTGCATTATAAGAGCGACAAGAAGCTTTCGTTGTAGCATTTTCGTGCGTTCACTCAATTTTGTCGACTGTGCCTCGAGAAGGTAAAAAGAGTGCCAGGTGAGGAAAAAGGCCTGGAAATTGTCTGAATGTCTATATTCAATCGAATCGGTTCCGAAAACCAGAAAAGTTTCGTTCAAATCGATAAAATGAATATCTCCGCTCGAATCCCCGACTCCGAAAACCCCCGGGCAGAAATTTACAGCTTAATATCTTCTTTTTATAGCATCTGCAAAGCAAAAGAAAATTCCCGGTGAAGAGTGACGAGTGAATGACGAGGTATTCTTTGTGCGAACACGTAATCGCCTGCGATCTGGCAAACGTCGCTGATAGATATCCGTTTCTTTTGGAATCAGGAAGAAGCGGTGAGGGACCGAGGGAGCTGATCGAAACAGCGATGAAAAAATACCAAAAAGGGTTCAAAAAGAGGCTAACTGAGGTTTCCTCGGCGCCAATTCTGTTTTAAGTGGTCCCAAAGTATGCAATAGTAGATAATTTTATTCTACATCTAATAATAATCAAGAAGCGCATGGAAACTTAACCGCGGAGGGGCTACTTTTGCTGTGGCGCTGTTTTGATCAGCTCCCGGAGCAAGCCGGTTTTGGCCCATTAATATGCCCAAATTCCTGGGACCAATTTTTTGCCCCAAGATTATCTTAATTTTGATTTTTGAGAGAAATTCTAGAAGCTGTTAAACCATTGTGCAGCTTAAAAGTCAAGCCTTCAGTCAAATTACTTGACTTTCATTTGAAAGCACTAGGTCAAATAGTTAGCATACTTAGCCAATACTTTAAAGTTAAGGATTCCCAATTGCCCGACGAGCCATCAACATCTTCAACTCACCAAAATCAAAGCCTCGGGTGCTAGAACTAAAATAATCACAATAATCCCGTACTCCGACGTCGAATTGATGATTGGTGGGGCAAGTGGCTCCGGGATAATTATCCAAATATTTGAGTCATTCTTTAAAAAAGAATACTCAGGCCATGTCTAGAATTGATGAATGAATAGGGATCACAAATCACCTACATCCACTATTATTTGAGCATTTGTTGGAGATAAATTCGTTGACATAATCTCTGAGCAATAGAAAGCGAATAATGGCCATAGAATGTAATGAAGGAGACCGAGAAAAATCCAGGTAGATTTGCGAAATCTCAAGAATTTTATGTTTTTTTGCTCAAAAATTGGAAAACACAGATCATTTGGAGCACTAAACAAACTTTAACCAATGTTTTGCGGCTAAAACTTGTCGATGTCGATAAATGACACATTGAATAGTAGCCATGACGAGAATGATTAGACAAATTGCACTAATTTCCTAAAATTACAAGGTTTATTTGTGTATTTATACATATTCACTAGTCAGTTATTCAGTTATATTCATTAGTTATAATAAAACTATTTAGGGTAGTATACATTTACTTTAAGTATTTAAAACAAACAAAGAATCGCTTGAATGGAAGACCGACGATTGTCCAAAAGAGGACCATGCAATTTGCAAGATATTGTTGGGAAAAACACCTCCGGAATGGCTGTGTGAAGGAGAAGTTCGAAAATGATAGATAAGATCTGAATTCGTTGATAAGATTGACTCGAGTTCATCTGAGACAATTGTACTGAATGTTGTGACTGATATGATTTTTCAAAAGCTTGAGTTCTTTGTAAATCTTTTTCAATCCCAATCCTGTTCAACTTTTGACATTGCTATAAGCTTTTTATAGAGTTGTACCGGCCTATCAAAGCCTTGACAAGCAATCAAACTCAAGTCTTTGATCAATATTTGATAGTATTGATCTAAAGCCTAAACCCAGAAGCTTTATACCTGATGCCACATCAAATGCGGCTTATATCCTTTCATATTCGTCGGCGTTGCAACGATGATCACGTAAAGAGTTGACAAGTTCACAATACCGCCAAAAACTCCAAAAACTGCCATAAAAGTGATGTAGGATGTTGGTGTTTCGTAAGCAATCGATTGAGTGATATTAAAGCTCATATTGAAAAGGAAATGAGATATTCTATCAGAAAAGGTGATTGAAGTTTGACAGGTGGAATTACTGAGAAAATCATGGCGTTTTTTCTTGAGGGATTTGTCGAATGGGACTTTTTTTTGTTTGGTAGAATCAAGGGATTGAATTATTAGGTTATTGGACTCTGTTTAAAGTCTACCATTGTTGATTGTGAATAAAAAATCACCAAATTCATAAAAACTTCAACAACTTTCAACTTCAACAGCAACAATGAACTTTCTTGTACTTTAAACCCTAGCAAACGCGTCTCTGCTGGCACACCGGCCAGTTTAGTAAGCCATTAGCCAATTTCTTAATATTTCATTGTTCTTTTCTATATTCTATGATTTCTCCATGTTCTTATAAAGAAATGAGATTGTCACCAAATTCGATCATTTCTTTATCAACTGATGATTTTGTGTCTGAGCTAGAAGTGCCTGAAGATCAATTTTGTTTGTGAGTTAAGCTTTATCTCAATCTTTTAGATCATTTCTGTAATCTTTAGAATTGTAATTTCTGGAATGGCAAGGGAAATCGTTTTAGCAGGTAGATTTTGTTGTAAAATTTGAAATTGTTTTATTGGGTTGTCCAGTTATGAATGCGCGTGTTTTAATATTTTGTAAATTTCTCAAGATATCGAAGAGATTTATATGAGTGTTATATATTATTCGAAAGCTGAAGATCCCCTCTACATTTTGAAATAAAAAAGTTTTTAAATTCATTCAACTTTTTTGGGAAATTGAACAAAAGGAGAGGTCGTTGTTTCTGTTTCGAAAACCCATTCATTTCTGTAATCTTTAGAATTGTGATTTCTGGAATGGCAACGGAAATCGTTTTAGCAGGTAGATTTTGGAGTGCCCTTGGTCCCTTTGATCCCATTGATCCCTTTGATCAAAAATGCCTTTGATCAAATGCTAATTGAATCCGAGTCAAAAAATAATTTCTGCTCTTGGAAAATGTTTATTTCGGCCGATTTATACCTGTACTCAAATTTTCTAAATCTCTGTACAAAAAGAATTGATCTCTTTGGTTTTGAGGTTTCTAAAAGTTGGGTAACTTCTGCTGAGAGTATCAAATATCAAAGCAACTTTTGCAGGGAGTACAGTATCAAATGCTTGCTAACTTTTAAGTGTTCCTATGTACAGTGTGGTTTTTTAAAACGTAGCACCTTCAAAAGCTACCGTAAGCTATTCTAAGCCGGCTACCGTAATTGGCTACCGCATTAGAAGATTCCCGATTTGAGGATTTGGAGTAGTCAAAAGGTAGTTTACGGGGGGAATGGGGAACTGGCTATGAAAAAACTACAGATTCGAGCGGTGCAAACAGCTCGCGAGGTGGCCTCAGCAGCGGCACACATTGAGTACTGGAAAGCTTTGGATGAGATCGACGCGGGGATTTGCGAGGGACTCACCTATGCAGATATAGAACAACGGTCAGTGAATATCATAGCGCCTAGCCAACTACTCCATTCAGATATCCAAGACAGTCTGAAGATCGAGCCCGTAACAAGTACCACTATCGGTATCCATCAGGTGAAAGTTACGAAGACGTGGTCTCCAGATTGAGGCCGGTGATCATGGAGTTGGAAAGACAAGTATTATAAAAAGAGAAAAAAAAAAACGCAAATGTGCGTTTTCAGACCGATGTACTGGTGGTTGGGCATCAAGCAATCTTGCGCTGTATTCTCGGTTATTTCTACGATCGGCCGTTGATGGAGTTGCCCTATTTGGACTGTCCACTTCATTCACTCGTTAAGCTTACCCCTCGTGCATATCATTGTGATTCGACCATCTACAAGTATGATGTGCAAAGTGGAAAGGTGAGTGAACAAGCTTTAGGGTACTGTGACATCCTAGTTCAAACTTTAAACTCAAATTTCAGTGGACCGAGCAGCATCGTCAACTCGCCCTTTGTGCAAGTCCAAAATAGATTCTTTTAGAAATGTTTTCTTTTCGATTTTACTTTTGCCACAATTTTCTACCGGTAAAAATCCCAGCCTAGAACCGCCATTGCCGAACAAAACACTAGTTGATCAAAAGAAATATCTTGTCAAATAAAGCAAATTTTCCAGAACGTGTACAAAGAACTTTGTTGACTACCAAAAACAAAGAAAACAAAAGACAGAGTTTCATGAATTCTTTGAAAGAAACATTAATATACAGTAATCATTTTATCATTTTAAATACAGCTTAAGGACACTCCTTTGTTTCGATCACATAGGTGCCAACAATATCCGAATACGATCCATCACTTCCCGCATTTTCTCCCGAGTGTTTGTATCTAAAAGACATTTTTTTAACAGCTCCATTATCTCTTATTTTATCGCAAGTTCAATTCCAAAAGAAAGCTCGTAAATTAAAGTTAAAATAATCTCAGAATTCTCACTTAAAACAAGCCCTCCACTCGTTGTTCAATGTGAATTTCTTTCGGTTGAATTGTTCTCCCGGGATGTCCAACGACGGAAAGATTACCTAAAAGAAAAATTGGGGCAAAGGCTTGAGTCGAACTTATGAACAGGCTATTCAAGTAGGTAAAACAAACCTGTTCATAAAACTCGTCAATCTTTTGAACACTCTTCGATCTTTCTCTTGCTCCACAATCGGTGTTCACTGGTTGATCCATGATCATCGTCATCAAAGTTGAACTAAAACGCAATTTACTCCTTTTATGTATGAATTTTCGCAAACAACTCTTACCTGTGCAATCTCACAAATGTCGTATTCTTTCCTCCAGAAAGCCTGAAAATGCTATCCAATCGAGACATCCACCTAAACTACTTTTTTAAAGTCACCTTATAACTCAGTAAAACGTACCTCGTTGCTTTCGTATGAGTATTTTCCGAGTTCGTTTTCTTTTTACCATCGACGAGCTGCAAAACACAGTGTCCTAAATGATTTTAAACTTTTAAAATTCATCGAAACACCCCCACCCTCCCGGCGTTGATGTGTTCTTCCCGAATCGCATCTACTCCACGGCTCCCATCGAAAAGCCAACGCCACATCCGTGTAGAATGGTCTCTAAAACGTAAATATTAATTCTAAAAACGTGAAATTCAAGGCATTTAATTAGCTATTTTCATTGAAATTTGAAAAGAAACTAGCATCATTGATCGATCGCTTAAAAACATGCAGATGTATCGCAGTCTCCGGCACTTTTCGTATCGCTAGGCCACCGGTGTTGGGGTGAAGTTTCTAAAGTTACCTAGAATGCACTGAAAAGAAATGGATTACCAGATATTGTTCGCATTTAAGATAACCCTTATCACAGAGAGGCTCATTTTCGGGTTTATAGATGATGGGACGCCAGTTGAATTTCCATTGAGTATCCGGGTACATCTAAATGTTAATTAGTAATATTCAGTGTCGCTGAATGGAAAAACTAGCACCTTACTTCCATAAAATTTACTTTAATATCCTTAATCACTCACATAAATCGGTTTCCCGCAGTCATTGCGACAATGATATGGAGGATTTGATAAATCCTTTTTGTCCGGCAATTCACAGACCATTTTGCCTAAAATGTGCAAGTTTAGAAAGAATTGTTAAAACTGACCCATATCCGGACTCAGCTGAAGACGATTCTTCAAATTAGCATCATCCATCCAATTCACTCGATTGATCGGGGTCATTGCGTGGAGAATATAGAAATAGCGGACCTAAACCTGGGTAAAAATTTCATTGCCGCTGTGAAAGTATACCAAATTGATCCCGGTGTCATCGTAGCAAAAATACACACCAGCCGCTCTTGCTTCAGCCTAAAATAATCAGATAAACTTACAACTAAACTATACATAAACTTACATTATGAATGTGAAACGTCTTGCCAATACGTTCAAACCATTGTCGTCGGATATGGGGGAAAGATCCGTTCTCTGTGGCCTGAATTCTAAAGAGACAAATTTTTCTAAACAAACAAGACAATAAGTACCTTATTTCTTTAATAAAAACCACAAACGCACCGATTTCCGGGCATGTAAGAGGGACCAGAATCCCCTGATCCCTCGAATTCCGTCACTCCTGTATTGATCTTGAAGTTGGATGGGAAAAATTGCACGCCAACATCCGCGTGTTGCAACTTCTAAATGTGGCAACAATAGCAGAAAATCGAAAAGAATTGTACCTTATTCTTCTCGTAATGATCGAAAAAATCGTATACTTTTGCGGCCCAACCCCACGTCTTGATCTTTCCATTTGAATCGAGACCTCTAAAACTCGAACAGAACATTTTATTTAGATTCTATGGACGAAACTAACCGTTGACAAACTTTGCACGTGAACGAAATATGATCGCCAGGCCAGTAATAGATGTGTTTTACCTAAAGAAACCTTTATTGTTTATACAAAGTTTATATTAACCTTCATTGGAAGGCCATTCTCGCTACATTCAGCCACTACGGCGCCTTGCAAACCATGATGCTTATACCTAAAAACGCAAAATTATTAAATTTTGTAATTTAGCAGCAGTAAAGGCATTGCTAATTGTTATAGTACTACTGCATAAGTTTATTTTACGCTAGAAACAAGTAACAAGCTGGAAATCCATTTATTTCTTGAACCCACAAACCTCGATAATCGAAACGATCTGATATTGTCGGTATACGGGAAAGGGAAAGAATTCTGAAGCAAAGGAAGCTAAAAATTAAACATAAACATTGAATTTCAAGTTATTCTACGTACCAAAAAACGACAATAAGCTACCCACCCCAATCGGAAATCCTTTCGGATTGATCAGATCACCTAATACATTGTCTCCCTCGCGAATCGCTGGTGTAGTAGTTGGCTAAATTAGTACTATAGGCTTGTGGGGGAGGGGGGAGTTTGTTAGAAACATTTCGAATGATTGTACTGGCAATTTTCTTTCTCTTAAAGAAATCAAATGGGCTGAAACGATCGGTAATCGTTTCAACACCTTTTGGATACATCTATTCGATGATTGGCCAACTCAGACACGCCTGGCGGAAGCCCTTCATCAAAGTTTGCGAAGGTCGCCGTCCCAGCGGCTTCCCACCCTCATTCGCCACCCCCAACATCACCAGGATAAATGACCCTACTGCATTGTTTTCTTTTTTTTTTGCCAATGTTCACTCAATTGTTTCCAGAAAACGCCTTTCTTATGTGCAATTTTTTGACCCGCTCAAAACATTTTGATTTCTTAGCGTTTTGTGAAACCTGGCTTAACGATTCTTGCCCCTCTTCCCTTTTTGATCCTTCATCTAATTACTCAATTTTTCGTTGTGACCGTAATAGCAATACTAGAGTTCGTGGCGGCGGCGTTATTCTTTTTATCTCGCGCAAAATAATTTCAAATCTTGTTTTGAGTACGAGTCTTTCTGGATGTGACATTCTGATTGTTGATTTTAATTTAGGTAATACTGCTTTCCGTTTATTTGTTGTGTATCGTGCCCCAGATGTTAACCCTTTAGATACCATCAGCTTTTTTTAACCTGTTAGATCAATATTTTGACCCTGTAAATCTAATTGCTTTGCTGGGGATTTTAATTTTACCATCTTATCTTCTCAAAAACAAAATTGCCCCCTAAATCTCTCTCGATTTCCTCATTTGTCTAGATTTCTCATGTCAAATAGTCTTAAAATTTTAAATAACTTCCCTACTTTTCGGAGAAGTGATCATGTTCTTGATTTAATCCTATCCGATTCGCCTCATCTTCTTTCTGAAATTTCCCCTCTGCCACCTATTGAGGCTCCGATCACTTTGCTTTGACCTTCCGTTTTGTTGTAAATCCTATCGTTTCTCCCATAGGCGCCAATCCTATTCGTGCTTATTGGAGAGGTGATTTCAATGCTATATCGTTTTCTTTAGTAAATTTCAATCTCCTCTTCAGGCCTCGATTCGACACGGATATCAACGTGTGCTACGCCCTCCTCACTGATACGATGCACAAATTGCTGATTGAACACATTCCGCTCTCGACCAAAGGTAGCTTTTTTCCTCCACCTCATATTACTCGAGCAAAGGTTAGGTTAGAGAAAGCTTGGCATCTTAGGCATACTCCCTTTTATGCGCGTTTAGAATATACTTTGCGTAAGCAGGTGATGAAATTTGAGGCAAATATTGAACGCAAATGCGTTTTTAGCAATAATCCAAAATCTTTTTTACTCTTATATAAATTCTAAAATTAGTTCAAATCACGATTCTTCCATTAAATGTATAATTAATCCTTCTTCCAATTCTCTTATAGACAACCCTTTAGACATAGCAAACTCTTTTGCAACTTATTTCGCCAGCGTTTTTCAATTGATAACCTTAGCGTTATTCCTCTACTCCCCAAATCGCCATTCAAACTGTCCCGCACTTATTTTCACTCCTACTCTTGTTGAAAAAGCTATAACCAAACTTTCAAATAAAATTTCCTACACCCCCGATGATATTCCCTCTTTTATCATTCGCCAAACCAAATATCATATTTCCCCCATCCTTGCAAAAATTTTTAATGTTTCTCTTTTAAATTGTTCTGTCCCCACTGACTGGAAAACCGCCGTAATTTGCCCTCTTTTTCAAAAAAGGCGATCGTAAGCAACTTGCGAATTATCGCCCGGATCGCTTTGACCTCATCCATATGCAAAATAATGGAAGCTATCATTAAGGATCACATTACCACTCATTTGCTAGAGAACAAAATTCTTAACCAAAATCAGTTTGGTTTTCTTAAGTCTAGGTCTACCTCTGATCAATTAATTTTGTCAATTCACGACTGGTTGTGGGCCAAAGCGCGCAAATAAATCTCAAACCTGCTGTATTTTTATTGATTTTGCCAAGGCTTTTGATTCTGTAAATCATCGATTCTTCCTTCTAGCCAAGCTTACTTCCTTAGGTATTTCTCCGCTTATAGTTAAATGGATCGAAAATTGGCTTTCCCGTCGTACTTTCCGTGTTCGTATCGGTGGATACACTCTCAAACGAGTTTACCATCTCTAGTGGTGTTCCGCAAGGGAGTGTTTTAGGTCCTCTACTTTTCCTTATTTATATCAACGATATTCATAGTTCTTTAACTCCCGGTACCATGGTGCGTCTCTATGCAGATGATTTAAAACTTTATCGCAAAATCCCCCGATCAAACACCCAATATGGTCTTTATTATCTTCAGAGAGATTTAGACTCGATCCTAAAATGGAGCATAACCTGGCAGCTGAAAATTGCCGTCGAAAAATGTAGACAAGTAACATTTGGTCCTTCCCATTTTACTCTTAAGTTAGGGAATATCACTTTATCTGAAGCCACTTCTGACGACCCAATCAAAGATCTTGGTGTTTTACTTGTTCCCTCTCTTAAATTCAACACTCATATTGAACAGATGGCAAAAAAAAAGCTTTTCGCATCTCAAACCTTATACTTCGCGCTGTTTGTTTTCCCTCAATTGCTACTTATCGTAAAGCGTTCATTACCTACTGCCGCCCTTTGCTCGAGTACGCCACTTTTGTTTGGTCTCCCTGCCTCCAAAAGTTAATTTCCTTGGTTGAGAGCGTTCAGCGTCGTTTCAGTAGGAGGGCGTATGCCCGTTGTTTCCCATCGAAAGAAATTCCTTGCTATTCTGATCGACTTGCTCTTTTTACCTTTAAACCCTTATCCCATCGCCGCATTTATTTTGATTTGGTCTTATGCTATAAAATCATCTTCTCTCCTAACTCTCATCCGGAACTTAAAGGAATCCCTTTAAGATTTCGAATCACGCCAGAAGAACTCGTAGTCACAACTTTCAGATTACCCCCTTTCAAAGCTTTCATAACCGCCAACTGTATCATTCTTTTGCTTGTCGTGTTCCTCGTATTTGGAATAAGTTACCTTGTGATATTTTTTCGTCTCTGAACTATTTTAAATCCTCAATATATAAGCTCGATCTTGTAGCTCTGTCAATTTTAAATTAGTTTTTAATGACATATATACACGTGTCTAATTGTAGTTGTGTTTGTATATCAATTATCTTTCTTCGTCTACGCTGTTCAATCTGTTTGCATTGTCACTTTTCCTTGTCGGATAAAGTATATATACGATGTAGGTGATTTGTGGTCCCTATTCATTCATCAATTCTAGACGTTGCCTGAATATTCTTTTTTAAAGAATGACTCAAACATTTGGATAATTATCCCCGGAGCCACTTGCCCCACCAATCATCAATTCGACGTCGGAGTACGGGATTATTGTGATTATTTTAGTTTCTAGCACCCGAGGCTTTGATTTTGGTGAGTTGAAGATGTTGATGGCTCGTCGGGCAATTGGGAATCCTTAACTTTAAAGTATTGGCTAAGTATGCTAACTATTTGACCTAGTGCTTTCAAATGAAAGTCAAGTAATTTGACTGAAGGCTTGATTATTAAGTTGCACAATGGTTTAACAGGTTCTAGAATTTCTATCAAAAATCAAAATCAAGCCAATTTTGGGGCAAAAAAATTGGTCCCAGGAATTTGGGCATATTAATGGGCCAAAACCGGCTTGCTCAGGGAGCTGATCAAAACAGCGCCACAGCAAAAGTAGCCCCTCCGCGGTTAAGTTTCTATGTGCTTCTTGATTATTATTGGATGCAGAATAAAATTATCTACATTTTGCATACTTTGGGATCACTTAAGACAGAATTGTTGTCGAGGAAACCTCAGTTAACCTCTTTTTGAACCCTTTTTGGTATTTTTTCATCGCTGTTTCGATCGGCTCCTCTGGTCCCTCACCACTTCTTCCTCTTTCCAAAAGAAACGGACATCTATCAGCGGCGTTTGCCAGATCGCAGGCGATTACGTGTTCGCACAAAGAATACCTCGTCATTCACTCGTCACTCTTCACCGGGAATTTTCTTTTGCTTTGCAGATGCTATAAAAAGAAGATATTAAGCTGTAAATTTCTGCCCGGGGTTTTTGGGAGTCGGGGATTCGAGCGGAGATATTCATTTTATCGATTTGAACGAAACTTTTCTGGTTTTCGGAACCGATTCGATTGAATATAGACATTCAGACAATTTCCAGGCCTTTTTCCTCACCTGGCACTTTTTTTACCTTCCCGAGGCACAGTCGACAAAATTGAGTGAACGCACGAAAATGCTACAACGAAAGCTTCTTGTTGCTCTTATAATGCAGGTGAAATTTGGATAATTTTGTGCAATTGCAAGTGATCAATTCAGATTTTCATCCCATTTTTGACAATTGCTTTCCCTTGGTTACTTTATGCGGCTGTTGTGGGGTTGAAATTGATCATACCGCAATGTTTGTTTAGATCATTTCCTTTACTATTTTGAATACTCATTTAGATATTCTCAATTTCGCCTGATTGATAAACAGTACGCACGCAATGACGTCATCGATATTCATTTGGGGATTCACTGAACCATATCGAAAATTTCTCACTCAGTCGTGGAAACGATTTCGAAACGTCATTCCATCAAGTCGCTCAGTTTCAGTTGTTCACATTTGATTTGATTTTGATAAAAGTTTGAACAACTTTAATGCCATTCACATATCGATGAATATCGATGCTACAACAAAGACAGAAGACAGTCTAAGCCATTCACCATTCACCATTGCTCATTGACAAGATTCTGCTTTTTTTCTCTGTTTTTCTCTCTCTTCACGAATTGAGTGAGAAAATGAAATAAACAGCTTGAGAAGATAAAAAAGAATGAGAATGAATAAGCAATGAATCAGAATGGAAAGTATGAAAAGTAATACTTCAGTCTAATCCGGTCAAATCAAAGATCAAATCTAGAATTTTCGATCTCATATTGGTTTAGATCCTATATTGGATCTCATATTGGATAGAGCCATTTTGGTCTTGATTCGGATTCGTTTAAGATAACTAATAGATCAAAAAACGCTTGCAAGAGCACAAAGTACACAAAAATTATAGCAGTTCATTATCAGCTTTCAATTTCAATATTCGGAGTCTTGGCTGAGGATTTTGATTGATTCATTTGATTGATCATTGATATGGATTGATTCATTTGATTCATTTGATTCATTTGATTCATTTGATTCATTTGATTCATTTGATTCATTGGATTTATTTGATCGCTT